ATGTTGAGCTTCAGACCATTTTTTGTGCTCTCCTCTTTCACCCTCATTACAAGGTTCCTTAATTCCTATTCACTTTCTGCCATCAGAGTGGTATCTGCATATTTAAGGTTGTTGATATTTCTTCCGGCAATTCTTTATACATAATCTAGTTGTCTATACTTCTTTTACTGTTCTTATTGCAGTATTTAATGGGTGAATTATTAAACTACCTTTTGGTTTATCTTTTGGTATAGTTACAATGGTCATTAGGACATAGAACCTGTTGTTAATTTATCTGAATCCCACCACTGAACAAAGCAGAGGTTATGACAGTGTGTTTGTGGATCATAGGAGATGCCTGTAGCCCAAGACAAGGATTTCAACAAGGCCAATAGAGCAATTTATCTCTCAGCTGCCATGGGATAAAGAAGACAAATGAGATTTGCTCTTCACCTCTGTGGGCAGTGAGCAGGCACAGCCAGGAAGAGGCAGGCTAGTCGTGGGGGTCTACTGTGTGTGTGTGTGTGTCACTGAACCAAGCCCGAATTTCCCTTTTCTCTGCAGGATCTGATCACCGGTCGCTTGGAGCATCTGGAAGATAAGAGGGGGGAAGTCACAAAATGTAAAGAAGAAACCGAAGAGGAAAGTCAAGCCTTGCTTGTGAGTATAAGGGTTACTACGGGGCGGGGGGGGGAATTCTTAAATCTCTGTGTGGAAAATGTGATGTAAAAGCAAGAAGAGATGAAGGCTGCAATGATCCTGAACCTCTGGAAATTGGAATAGCCGGGTATGTTATTGAGAAAGTGCCCCAAAGACATTCAGAGGGTGGTCTTTTCAGATCAAGGTGAGCACCTTCTACAGCAGGGGTGGGCAATTAATTTCTATAGGGGGGGCACATGAAAAATCTGAACTGTGTTTGGGGGCCGAAACAACTTTACTTAAAAATAAAATGAAACAGTGATGTTAATGACCCCATCACCTCCTGGCAAACAGAAGGGGAAGATATGGACGCAGTGACAGAGTTTACTTTCTTGGGCTGAATGTTCACTGCAGATGGTGACAGCAGCCACGAAATTAAAAGATGCCTGCTTCTTGAGAGGAAAGCAATGACAAACCTAGACAGCATCTTAAAAAGCAGAGGCATCACCTTGCCGACAAAGGTCTGCATAGTCAAAGCTATGGTTTTTCCAGTAGCGATGTATGGAAGTGAAAGCTGGACCATAAAGAAGGCTGACCACTGAAGAATTGATGCTTTTGAATTGTGGTGCTGGAGGAGGCTCTTGAGAGTCCCCTGGACTCGAAAAGGAGAACAAACCTATCCGTTCTAAAGGAAATCAGCCCTGAGTGCTCACTGGAAGGACAAATCCTGAAGCTGAGGCTTCAATACTTTGGCCATCCCATGAGAAGAGAAGACTCCCTGGAAAAGACCCTGATGCTGGGAAAGTGTGAAGGCAAGAGGAGAAGGGGATGACAGAGGGCGAGATGGTTGGATAGTGTCACCGAAGCAACCAACATGAATTTGATCCAACTCTGGGAGGCAGTGGAAGACAGGAGGGCCTGGCGTGCTCTGGTCCATGGGGGTCACGAAGAGTCGGACACGACTTAACGACTAAACAACTAAACTGATAGTGATTGTTTTAGCCATTTGTAGAGGCATAAATTTTAATGGATTTATAATCTTGTTTTTTTTTCTGTAGTTTACTTACTTACTTATTTTGATTTTTTTACCACCCATCTGGCTACCAAGGCCATTCTGGGCAGTTTGCAAATTCCACAACATTATAAACAACAATAGAAAAAATATCAAATGTCCACTTAAAACAAAAATAGGAAAACAAGTAAAATAATTAAAGTTATAAAAGTTTATGGTGGACTCTGTTTTTTTACAGCTCTTGTGGGTTATTGTTGTGACTTGCTTTGGACACTCCTTACAGGAAAGGGGAAAAGGGGATTATATGTTAACCATATTAAAGTTTATGATGCTGCCTAGGCAGTTTGTGGAAGGGGGGCCACCCTCAAACCTAGTGCCTTGCCCCCAGAGACCATGGTGTGAAGGCAGGAGGAGAAGGGGATGACAGAGGACGAGATGGTTGGACTGTGTCATCGAAGTTACCAACATGCATTTAACACAACTCCGGGAGGCAGTGGAAGATAGGAGGTCCTGGCGTGCTCTGGTCCATGGGGTCACGAAGAGTTGGACATGACTTAACGACTAAACAACAACAAGAGGCCATATACTGCCCACAGGCTGACGTTTGACCACCTCATTTTAGATCATAAAATCATTAGAACTGGAAGGGATCCTGGGGATCATCGAGTCAAACCCCAAAGCCAACAAAGGAAATTTGCCGCAGAAGCATCAATGAATGATAAACTTCTGTTTAAAAACCTCTGACAAAGGAGGGTACACCCCCTCTGAGGGGTGATTTTATATGTTTCCATATCAAATTTGCAAGTTTAAAATTCTTATGTAGTGGCGTGGGCAGTTGTACCACCAGATAATTTCGGCCTACAAATGCCAACAGCCTCATCCTGTATGTTTAGTAGTGAGGGATTATGGATTTTGTTTTTATTTATTTTATTGAATTTCTACCCTTTCCAACTTATGGAAGTTGCAGCACAGAAATAGCCAGAGGTCTGCAGGTACCAACCCCATCACTAGCGTTTAGATACTGTTGAAAGAATCTGACTGTGAATTCATGATGCACAGATGCTGTGAAGACTTAACTATCTCCTCTAACCTTCTCTTTCTTCTCTTTCTGCCTGCTTCCTGCAGCAACAAACAAAAGCAGAGAGGGAAGAGATGAATGCAGTCTTGAGAAATTTACAACAGTTTTTGGGAAAACACGAGAAGCTTCTCGGGGCCCAGTTGGAAGAGGTGGAAAAGGAGATTGCGAGGAAAAGGGACAAACACCTGGCCAAACTCTCCGAGAAGCTCTCCTCTCTTGAAGATCTTATCCAGGAGATGGAGGAGAAGGGCCAGCAGCCCCCCAATGAACTCCTGCAGGTGAGACTGGCAGAAACACAGCAGGCTGCTCTTTTGGGGGGGGGAACTAGATCCAAAACTGCTGTGTGCCTCAACCTCCAAAGGAATGAAAGGGCTTAGTTTGAGGGACTGGGACCCCCCACTTGAGGACATCCAGGAGCATCAAGATGAGCAGGATGGTGTACAGTATTGACCTCAGTGCAGATAAGAAATTTCTGTGCAATATTGACAAAAACATCATCTTGCAGTTTCTTCATCTCTGAATGCTTTGTGTCCGGCTTGAGTGCTGTTCCTGCCTGCCATCTTTCCAGAAACATTTGGTTGGCCACTTTGGGGAACAGCCCACTGGACTAGAGGATGGTTGTTTTTTTTTTAAAGGAAGCCTTTTTTCCCCCATAGTTTGTGGGCTGGAGCCATTGCTGCCAATGCCATCCCCCTTATTATAAAAGGTTTTGGCACTGTCTGATTTTTTTTTTCCTGTAAGAGCCCGACTATACACTGAACACAGATTAAGACAGAGGGAAGGAAAAAGCCCCCTCTAGCTCCCTGAAGTCTCGCAACAGACCTCCCTTGCCCTTCAGCTCCTTTTCCCTTGTGAGGGATCAAGGCCAAGGTCTCTCTGAGCCTCCCTGTGGGAATTTATTTCTTCTCCTGAGTGCCTGAATGGGGGTGGGCTTAGGGTAGAATAAGGAGGACCAGGCATGGGGAATATCACTGAGCTCCGTTTTCTTCTTCTCTTCCTCCTTCTAGGACGTTAGAAGCCTCTCGGAGAAGTAAGTGCATCCCACTCATTGCCATTAGCATCACATCATATTGGAAAGGGTCTGCCTATAAGAGATCATGACTCCCTGCTCTCCAGGGGAGAGAGAAAAAAGAAGGATATGACATGAGCACCCTGTTCGCTGTGTCTGAGCACGGCCTTCCCTCTTCTTCAGAGCACAAAGCTGAAGGTGACTCTTCTGCTCTCTTTCTTCTTCCAATCTGTTCTGTTATAACTGTTTTTTTTAAAAAAACATAACAGTGGGATATGATGAGGCTGCTTATCAATATATTAGCACATGATTGTTTTTAATACATTTACTAAACACTAAATGTCTGAAATAAACCAACAAATAAACAAATGTTCCTAATAGAAATGGAGGACACTGGTCTGTAGTGTCACCCAAAATTGGAAGTGACTTGACAGAACATAACAAAACAACAAAGATCTCACAAAATAAGTTGTTTAGGCATAGTAATCCATGCAGTGATAATAAAACAAAAACTATTAATAAAAAGTTCATGGCAGCACAGAGAGCTTAGAGCAGGCATAAGCATCATGTGGTGGCAGAATGCATAATAAAATGTATCACTTATTTAAAAAGGTTCAAACACTTCTGTACAAGATGAAAACCTTTGGGAGCAGGAGTTCTAGGTGTGTCATGTTCACAGCCATGTTTCATAACCTTCCATTTCTGTATAACAAATATGTCATCTCCAGGGCCAAAGTAGAGGTTATGAGGAAGTTTGCTTTCTCCTGCAACACAAGTACTCTTTCTCCACCCCAGACATCTCTAGGAACCTCTAGAAAAAGAAACTTCTTATTTTAAAGGGTCCAAACTCTTCTGTACAAGGAGAGCCTGGCCAGGTGCTCGTCCCTTTTCCACCGCAGCCATCTCTAGGAACCTCTAGAAAAAGAAACTGGGAGGGGTGTTCTGAGTGCAGAACAAGAATTCATGCCACAAAGGCAGCAGAGATGAAGGAATAGGGTCAGAGAAGCACGGAGCATCCTGGTGTTACATGACTGATAACCATTCAGTGGTTGAAATCCGCTTTGCTTCGCTGTACCTGTGGAAAGCTGATGATGTCATCAGCAGAGGGCGATTTCTGGTAATTGAAAACTTCCTCCTTGTGTTCCTCAGCTTGCCTAGTTCTTTAGTATCTTTGCTTAGCTGTACCTGTGGAAGGCTGATCAGCAGAGGACGATTTCTGGTAATTGAAAACTTCCTCCTTGTGTTCCTCAGCTTGCCCAGTTCTTGAGTAATCCATCCCTTTCATCACACAGAAGCTATGGGATCTGTAGGTCGAGAGGAGGAAGTCTTTAATTACCAAACACCACCTGCTGCTGGTAACATTATTTGGCAGGAACAGTTTTCAGCAATTAAAGAATTGCTCCACCCGTTCCGCTGCTCCTACCGTATTTCCCCGAAAAAAAGACAGGGTCTTATATGGGATCTGTAAGAGGAGGAAGTCTTTAATTACCAAACACCTCCTGCTGCTGGTAACGTTATTTGGCAGGAACAGTTTTTGAGCCATTAAAGAATTGCTCCTCCTGTTCCACTGCTCCTACGGTATAGTTTTCCTGATGTAGGAAAAGGAATCGAAAAAGCCACAGGAGAGAAAGCCATCCCCTCCTGCTGCTGGTAACGTTATTTGGCAGGAACAGTTTTTGAGCCATTAAAGAATTGCTCCTCCTGTTCCACTGCTCCTACGGTATAGTTTTCCTGATGTAGGAAAAGGAATCGAAAAAGCCACAGGAGAGAAAGCCATCCCCTGTTGACACTGTCACTACTGAGTCTTTCTCACAGAATTTGACCTGTGTTTTAGTCTGCTTCCTACAATGAAAAGGAATAAAAAAAGCCACAGGAGAGAAAGCCATCCCCTGTTGACACTGTCACTACTGAGTCTTTCTCACAGAATTTGACCTGTGTTTTAGTCTGCTACTTTAAGCACAACACCAAGCTGGCTCTCAATTCATGGAGTTCCTGTTATTTCGAACCTCTGGCCCCTGCCTTTGGTCCAGAATTGGACCTCCTGTGTTTTAGTCCGGTACTTTAAGCACAACACCAAGCTGGCTCTCAACTGATGGAGTTCCTGTTATTTCGAACCTCCGGCCCCTGCCTTTGGTTATGAGCCACAGTGAGGATTCTTTGTCTTTTGGAGGTTTGATCTGAGGACAGTCGGGGGACAAATTCTTGCCCCTGACTTCTCAACTGTACCTGAGCCTCCCCCAAAAGAGCTATTTCCAGCTGTTTTTTTAAAGTAAATAGGAAGTGCCTAGATGAGGACGTCCAGTTCTGATTTTCTCCATTTCTTAGTCTGACAGTGCCTGACAGTGAAAACTACAGAAATAGGCTACTCTATTTTAAATCTAAGAGACCTTGAGGTGGCCTTAGGGGCTGCAAAAAGTCCCCAAAGGGACACCTACGGCCTGAGGACCCCATGAGGCCTATGCCTGCCCTAGGTTTTCTGCAGTCTCCTTTATCCGCTCAGTCCAGTGGTTTTCAAACTTTTCCAATTCCTGCCTCCATTGAGTGGCGGCAGCAGCGGCAGAGTAGGAGGAGCTGTGAGGGGTAAGGAGCAGAGCAGGCATTGGAGTTGGAGAAGCAGCAGCAACTCTTGTTTAGCAAAGAGAGGAGACGCCACCGTGCTGCTAGCTGGGTTTGGTGGTGCCCTGTGGGAGGATTGCCATGGCGCACACTTTGGGAATCCCTACGATGGAGTTGGAAACACAAAAGCTTGTTTAGCAAAGAAACAGAGGAGACTCCACCGTGCTGCTAGCTGGGCTTGGTGGTGCCCTGTGGGAGGATTGCCATGGCGCACACTTTGGGAATCCCTACGCTCAGTCCCTTTGCGTTCCATCGCTAAGAAATCCTGGCTTGAAATGGGTGGGTGGTAAAGTAACCCTTTTCCTCTCTCTCCATCAGCTGTGAGCAGGAGGAGACATTTCGTGATCTTGTGGCTTTCCCCCTTGAGCTGAAGTCAAAGATCTGGGGTGTCTTTGACAGAAATGCCTTTCTAGCTGACCTGGAGAAGCACTTCCGAGGTAAGACAGAGACCAGGGTGATGGCTGGTCTTAAAGGGAACAAGAAAAAGTGTGTTTTTTATTTCATTATCACCACAAACTAAAGCCAAGCCAGCATTAGTAGGGCAACCCTTTTTTCCCTCCATGGACCTGGCCTGGAGTTATTCTCAGGTACTGTGGGTTGTGGCAGTCAAGCCAGCAAACTTTCTTAGTAGGGCAACCCTTTTTTCCCGTCCATGGACCTGGCCCGGAGTTATTCTCAGGTACTGTGGGTTGTGGTGGTGGGAGTTATGTTGATATCCATGAAAAAGACAACTGACACAGTGGGTGGATGCAAGAGAGGTGGTTCCTCCGGCATGTATCAGTTTGCATCCTTTGAATCAGTTTTTCCTCTTCTTAAGCTCATGATGTTAACCACCGATGTAGACTGATTCTTTTCAACTTTAAATATTGTCTTTCATCGTTGTAACCCGCCTTAGGTCCTTTTCAAGGAGAAAGACGGGGTAAAATATTTTAAATAAATCAAATAAACAAGTTTGAGAAATTATTTCAGGAGGTTTTTAGAATCTTCTTCAGTTTTCAACACTTCAGATAATTTAGTATTATACACATCTATGTCGACAAATTCATTGCTCACTTTGGGGAATGGATTATATAGCAGCTGCTCAGTAGATATCATTTAGGGTCTCCAACACTTATCTCCATTCTGAGAACTATCAATGCATTATTTTCCTATCTTTTCTTTAAAATATTAAGATACCACAGAATGGCCCATCTTTTGAATTTTTTTTTATTTTAGTCTTTCCAGTGCTTTGTGGCTTCCAAACAAACCCCTTTTATCAGACTTCCTCCATAGCTAGCAAATGGGTACAGAGGAATTCATTCACGAAAGTTAAAGAAACAAGTCAACTTAAAAAATCAGGAGTCACTATAAAGAGTAAACTACAAGGAGACACTGACATTTTGGAGCAGTGGTTCCCAAACTTTGGTCCCAAAATGTTTACGAACTACAACTCCAAGAAATCCTGGGCAGAACAGCTGTGTTGGCTGTAAAGGCTTCTAGGAGTTTAGTCTAAGAACATCTGGTTATCAAAGGATGGAAACCACTGTTTTAGAGCAAATGCACACAAAACATGAAGGGTCTAAAACAGTTCACTTAAAAAGAAATACAGTGAACTCAAAATGGTTCTATGTAGCAGAATAGCAAAGGATATTCAGTATCCTGATCAAGAACATTATGGATATGTTAACAAAATTCCTATACTTCTGGTGAACTCCATTAAAAAGAAAGGGATGAAAAGGATAGTTAAATTTATAAAGGATCCAAAAAGCTGCAAGATGTTCAATCTTCATAAAAAGAATAAAATCTAAGAGTCTTTTAAAAAACAATCTGCTCTTCAGATTCCCCTAAACACAGAGTTCTTTTAGTCAGTTGATTTCACTTAATGAATTACATGAGTCTTAATACTCTATGATTCATCACTTTTTAGGAAGGCTTTATAAGGCATTTGAAAATCAACTGCCACCCTTACTTTTGTGGCTGTATAAATCCATCACTAAACGACTCCAAGTCTCAGCCTATGGCTAGAGTAATTAATTTGTCATATACCATCAAATCACATCTGAGCTAAGGCAACCCCACAAATGAAAGATGGTAAAGATGCTTTCTCACTAACAGCCCTGGTCAGCCGTTGAAAAATCAAGGCTGTGACATCCTTTATGGAATCCATCCTTCTATCTATTATATTTGGGAATGCAGTAGTTCGGATAATCTCAGGCTTGGTCTTTAGTGATACATCCTTACATTTGATGTTCCAAATCTCAGTCTCCTGATTTCTTGGCAATTGAGGTCTAGGAAATCTTTTAACTATTTCTATTTCTTCACTGTCAGTGTTTAAATCTATACTGTTCTTCTTTAGTAATGATTTTGGCATTCAACTTAAATCCTGCTTTTGCACTTTCTTCTTTAACCTTCCCCAGTAGTTTTTTCAAGTGATTGCTGGTTTCTGCCAGTAATATGGTGTCATTTGCATATCTTAAATTATACATGTTTCTTCCACAGATTTTCACTTCTTTCATATGAATCTAGTCCAGTTTTTCATATGCTATGTTCTACACTGAACAGACAGAGAGATAAAATACACTCTTGTGTGAAACCTGTGGTTACGGGAAACCATTCTGTTTCTCCATATTCTGTTCTAACAGGAGCTTCTTGTCCACTATAGAGGTTACATATCAGGACAACCAAGTGCTGAGGCATAGCTATTTCTTTTAAAACAGTCCACAGCTTCTAATCCACGCAAGCAAAGACTTTGCTGTAGTCTGTAAAGCATAGACATAAACTTTTCTGAAATTCTTTGGTACATTCCAGTAGCATCTGTATATGTGTAATATGATACTTAGGACTTCTTCCTTTTGAGAATCCAGCTTCATCCTTTTAAAGCTCTGGTAAAACCATCACCAAAGTGAGAAGTGAGTCTAGTATCCCAATTATACAATGTTATCATATTAGCATCATATAATATTAAAATGGGTAAAAATTACTTGGAAGCCACCATTAATAATGACTTCTGCCCTCCTGGGTATGCTAATGGGATAATCCCATGTCACTGTAGAGCATGTTTGGCTCCTGGATCTTCTGGGCAGCTACATGTAACAGATCAGAAAGGACAATAGCTAGAACAGTTGTAGGTTTTTCAGACTATTTGGCCGTGTTCAGAAGGTTTTTCTTCCTAATGTTTCACCAGTCTCTGTGGCTGGCATCTTCTGAGGACAGGAGCTAGAACTCTGTCTGTGTTCAGGTATAGTGTATGGGATTGTTGAGTATTTATAGCTGTGGGATCAGGGCTACAAATGATGCCACAGTTACAAGTACTCAACAATCCCACACACTATACCACAACAGAGTTCTAACTCCTGTCCTCTGAAGTTGCTGGCCACAGAGACTGGCAAAACATTAGGAAGAAATACCTCCAGAACATGGCCAAATAATCTGAAAAACCTACAACAACCATCAACCCAGCTGTGAAAGCCTTCAAGAAAACAATAGCTGGCATGTGTGTGGCTCAAATCCTGATCTGAATGTGACCAAAGATGGGGAAGAGTACCTCTATGTGCCTACTGGGAAGCAGTCTTAGCCATGAGTGAAAACCATTCCCTCCTACTGTTGTTTCTTCTTGTCACTGCACAGTAGAGTGCATTGAGCACATAGCATCTGTGACCACCTCTACCCAGTGAATCACCACTAAACTGCCCTTATTTTCAAAATGCTTGCCTTTAGCCCAAAATATAGGAGCCAAAGCGGTCTTAAACTTGAAACACAAAATATTATCTTCATTGGAAGATAACAACTGACATCCCTCTCTCTCATAGAAAGTAATTTTTCCTCTAGTTATAGTCTACTCATAAACATGTCTTCCCTTCTCTCGATGCAAGTTGTTGTTGTCGTTTATTCATTAAGTCATGTCTGACTCTTCGTGACCCTATGGATCAGAGCACGCCAGGCCCTCCTGTCTTCCACTGCCTCCCGGAGTTGTGTCAAATTCATGTTGGTAGCTTCAATGACACTGTCCAACTGTCTCGTCCTCTGTCGTCCCCTTCTCCTCTTGCCTTCACACTTTCCCAACAACAGGGGCTTTTCCAGGGAGTCTTCTCTTCTCATGAGATGGCCAAAGTATTGGAGCCTCAGCTTCAGGATCTGTCCTTCCAGTGAGCACTCAGGCTTGATTTCCTTCAGAATGGATAGGTTTGATCTCCATGCAGTCCAGGAGACTCTCCAAGAGCCTCCTCCAGCACCACAATTGAAAAGCATCAATTTTTCAGCAGTCAGCCTTCTTTATGGTCCTGCTTTCACTTCCATCCAGCTCTCACTCCCTTTTTCCTTCTCTCCCTCTTCTTGTTCTTCTTTTATACCTTCCAGGCTCTTCTTGATTGGCTCACCACTTGCTTGCTTTCAGCCAATCAGCTTATTTCTGTTGTTATCAGTGAGGGTTCCGTCACAGCATCTTTCTGAAAAATTAGGATGCTAAAGCATTGGAGGCTTGCTGTGGTATCCTCAGGTACCTTGAGAATAGTGTTATTGAGATCTGTAGGGAATTAGTACAGCCTGAGAATCTTGACAAGGAGATTGAAGGAATTCCCTCAAAATTTAACTTCTTGCCTCCCTTTTCTCACACAGCATATGATGATGGAGATTGGCTGGGAGGCTCCTGAGAACAGTTAACCCTTGTGTTGGGTAGGCCATCAGGAAGAGAGTTTTACCTCCAGAGGACTTGCTGAGTGTCAGTTAACTCCTCTGTGGGCAAATCAAATGAGTATTAGATGTGGATTTGGAGGATAATACCAATGCTTAACATCTCCCTCAGGAAAATTGGTGGGAGGCTTTATTCTAGCTCAAATTGTTACACATATATAGATTCAAGTCCTTCCCTGAGGAAGACTCAGGGTTGAATGAAAGAAAAGTACTGCCTCATCAAAACTCTGATATTCATTCAGGGTATTAACCAGTATATATATATTGTTTCTATTTAATCCTTGATTAGAAATGTGTGCCGTGTTACTGCGTTTCCCCGAAAATAAGATAGGGTCTTATATCACTTTTTGCTCCAAAAAACACATTAGGGCTTATTTTCAGGAGATGCTTAACTTTTTTCATATACAACAATCTACATTTACTCAAATAAAGCCATGTCATCTTCTTCTGGTTGCTGCACAATGGTGGAGGGCAGGGTGTCACTTAACTGGGGCTTATTTGGGGGGGGGTAGGGCTTATATTATGAGCATCCTGGAAAATCATACTAGGGCTTATTTTCAGGTTAGGTCTTATTTTCACAGAAACAGGGTATAAACTGATATTTCTGTGTACAGCAGGCTCTGCTGCTTAATCTTTATATCTTTTTGCCTTCACAGATATTAGCTTATCTGGACCCCAACTTCATAAAGGTAAATTTCTGCTGCCTCACCTTATGAAGGGAAGGGATGGTTGCATCTTGTTTTGAGGTTCTTTGCATGAACAAGAGGCTGAATCCAACCACTAGTCCCATCTGGGGCAGGCAGTCCTATCAACTTGAATCAACTTGACTGGTGAATGGCAAGTCAACACTTACATATCTCCCATGGATTCAGTTGGTCTATTCTAGTTGGGTCTAGGACTTGGATCCAGGCCCTTGTTCGTACGGTGGACCCTTGACTTACAGACGGCTTGACTTACAGACTTTTTGAGTTACAGACTTCTCTGGCTGCAAAATTTAGATTTGACTTGCAGACTGAGATTTGACTTACAGACCAGAAAAAAACCAAAATGGAACAACAACGGCCTGTTACAGGATTAATCGGTTTTCATTGCACTGTAGCTCAATGGAGACTTGACTTACAGACTTTTTGACCTGCAGCCACCGTTCCAATACGGATTAATTCTGTAAGTCAAGGGTCCATTGTACTGCCTGGACTGTATTTTCCCTGCCTTCCATGAACCTTTCTTGACCTAAGAAAAAAAAGAAACAAAATATCCCCCTCTAGTGGTTGAAGAAGGAATAGCAGCTTCCCATTAATTTCTATGGACGGAAAAGAGCAGATACGGATCAAATGGTTTTCAATGCATTCCTATGGGAAATGCAGATTTGACTTGAGAACTTTTTGACTTGAGAACCGCCTTCCAATACGGATTAAGTTCTCAAGTCAAGACCCCACTGTACAAATAGACTGAACATAGGAGACTCCTTTGTTATAAGCTTCTCCCGAAAAGAATTGCCCTTTGCTAGCCAACAGTCAAGATCAAATCAGCCACTGGGAGAGTTTCTAGTCCTTATGACTGGGTATTTCAGCCTAGCTCCAGGAAAGAACAACTAGAAGCACATTGGATTTATTTCCCAAGGCATAGAAATGCTGGATAATATTTTTTTAAAGCTCCAATGCCCCTTAAAATAGGCAGTCATGTTTAAACATACAGGCATTTACCAGGGTAAGTGTTTAGGATAAAATTCCTTCTAAAACAATGCGGCAAAGTGTCCACATATAAAACAGAGTTTTGCACCAGGAATGCATACCTTTTTGTTAAAAAGGAAAAAGAAAAAAACCTAAACCAATGAGTAAGAAAAAAGTGATAGTTTTCAGAAAGGGCAAAATCATTCATGTTTTATTGATACTTAGTTACTACTTAGGAGGAACAGGAACATGCATGTTAGGCCTTCTCCCCACCCACCCCTTTCACAGTGTGAAGGTCTCCAGAAGGGCTTATGAGCAAATGCAGCTTCACTTACAGGACTTTTATGATCAGTGTAACTTTATCAAAGCTCCTGATTTCACCAACACGGTAAGCACATGAAGTCCTTCACAATGAACACATTCATTCCTTCATGCACAACCCCTCCTCCCTCAGCAGGGCCAGAAATGTCTTGGCAGGTCGAGGGTTCTGATACTTGCACTTCTGTCAATAAATGTTATCAAATCTCCGTTAATTTATTATGGTGCTGTGTGAAAATTGCCTTGTCCGGCATATGCGGATTGCAGAGGGGAACAGCTGGGAGAGGATGGCGTACATTTGTATTAGAAGATGGCCAAGGAAATAAACCATAGATGTTAAACTGTTACTCAAGAACAGGCTACTAAAATACAAAACCTCAAAGACCAATTAATATCCCATTTTGTTGCCTATACAACTGAGGTCATTTACACATCAAATATCATGCTGGACAATAATACTTCCTTCTTAGAGCCTTTGACATGGGAGTTCCACTGGCTTATAGAAAGCCCCTTGCCCCCCAATCACAGCTCACCCATAGCAGGCCACACAAGAGGGATGGGAAAATGGAGGGCAGTTCTATCCATGCATTGACTCTCGCAAGATCTAAAGGCAGCTCAGGCAAAAATCAATCTTTTACCTTCAATGAAGCCACGGGTTTTCTTTTTCCTTGTTTGTTTTTATTATACAGGATGTTTTTTCTTATACTTGTTGAAAGAGAATTAAAAGGGCTACTTATACAAAACTGCTGCGGTGTGTGAATGATACAGTCACACCACAGTGGTTCTCCCACTTCATCCTCTTCTGCTTCTTGTCTCCAGCAGCAAATGTTACTCTGGATCCAGAAACAGCATTCTTCTGCCTCGACGTGTCTGGAGATTGCAAACATGTGAACTATCGAAAGTACCGATATTTGACCGACAACCCTGAGAGGTTCGATGACTGTTATTACGTGCTAGGACGTGAGGGATTCACCGCAGGGAGACACTACTGGGAAGTCACTATGGAAGGTGAGGGAACTTGGGCTGTGGGGGTGGCCAGGAAATCCGTACGGAGGAAAGGCGATGTGGAATGTAGAACTGAGGAAGGGATCTGGGCTTTTGAGAAACGTGGTAATGGCTACAGAGCCTCCAACCTTCCTAACAAATCTTTTCTTCCCTTGAGTGGGAAGCTGAGGAGGATCCGGGTGTCCCTGAACTACGACGAGGGACGGGTATCCTTTCATGATCTGGATAAAGGATCCCATCTCTACACCTTCTCTGGAGCCTCTTTCTCTGGGGAGACCCTTCTCCCCTTCTTTGAAGTAGACGACTCCCTCACAATCTCATCTTAGGGCGGGCAAGCCAAGCTCACATGGAAACCAACCATGACATGGTTGAGCAGGTTGCCTTGCCCTTTTAAAAATCCCTCCCCCCCAATAGACTTCTGGCCACAATCCTCCTCTAGAAAACTAAGCTAAACCAAGATGGGGGGCTGCTCTCTCCCCCCTCCCACTTTCCTACAGTCCTTTCCTCCTTTTGCCAATTTTTAAAGAGACGGTAGCCCTTTACTTGCGTGTCAGAAATCTCCTTTCTCCATGCTGCATCCATGGCTCTTGTTCTTAGTTTCAGGTTTATATATTCGTAGAAGCATAGAATAGTGAAGTTGGAAGGGGCCTATAAGGTCATAATGTCCAACCTCCTTCTCGATGTAGGGATCCAAATCAGAGGATATCTAGAGGTAGTTGTCTAAGTTTCTTTAGAATGGTTCCAGTGTTAGCACACTCATCACCTCTTGAGGTCATTGGTTCCACTGGCTTACAGCTCTAACGGTTAGGAAGTTTCTCCTGACATTCAAGCGAAATCTGGCTTGCTTTCTCACAATGCCAGAAAATGTGAGTGCTCGCTGTTAAGATAAACTCTTCCCAAAACAGGGGAAAAAAAACTCTCTTTCTCTTAAGAGTCCCTATCCCAAACATGAGGAAACCATTATGACTTCCTGGAGGATGTACATTTTAGGTCAAATATCTGTGCTCAATAAAGGTGATTAGTGTATTTCCCTCACACATAAAGACATACTGTGTGTTGTACCATTAATGTCTGCTGATGTGGGTCTTATATGGGTTTGCCTTGACTCAGAACAACAGAATGCTATTCCAGGGATAGAAACATTCCTTCCGATATACAAATATTTGCTCAACTTGTGTGTAATTAGCATTTATGCATATGCAGGTCCTAATTTTTATACACAGTCCAGCTTCCTTGTATAATAAATTTCCGTGAATATGCTCGTTGTGGAATAAAACACTCATAAACCAGAGGTTTATTCTTGTTGAAAATGGACGAAATGTAGAGTTCTCAAGTTAGACAATCTGATGCTTGAACAGTTCCCAAGAGCCCTACAGATGTTTATAGATCTCTGGGGAAAGATCAGAAGCCTGTGTTCATCGCAGCTACCATTTGTTCCATTTAAGGTTAATTCCAGAATGAAATCAGGCAATCCTTTCCAATCATATAAAAACTGATTTTGGTATCAAGGTATCAGTCTTTTCATTGTTGTAGTACCATGTTTCCTCGAAAATAAGAGTCTTATATTAATTTTTGTTCCAAAACTCGCATTATGGCTTACCTTAAGGGGATGTGTTTTTTTTCATTTACAACAATCTACATTTATTCAAATACAGTCGTGTCATCTTCTGGTTGTTGCATGATGAGTCCCTGGTGGAGGGCGGGGTTTCATTTAACTGGGGCTTATTTTTGGGGTAAGGCTTATATTACGAGCATCCTGAAAAATTATACTAGGGCTTATTTTCAGGTTATGTCTTATTTTCAGGAAAACAGGGTTACTATGGACAATATCAGCTTGTCTAATTCTGCAAAGTTTATCTACATTACTTCTCCTTTGTATGTGCACAAAATACTGTACTTTCCAGCTGTTGAAAATAAATCTGCTTTAACTCTTGCTTGACTGATTCTTCTGTTCACACTGATAAACATTTTCTCCCATGAGAAGGGTCCAGACAGGTCTTTGGGTCACCCTAATTTGTCTCCCTTTTGATTAATGACACTCCCTGCCCCACATTTTCTCACTCCCATCATCAAGCAGGCCATGGCAATTTTCCTTTTTTGTGAAATAAAGTAAGTAACATCGTGAAACAACAATGCAACTACCTAACTACTCTTCTTTTCAGGTTCTTTGTATGTGCAAGAGGCGAAATCTAGTTTCTAGTCCCATCTAGAGTAGACCTATTGAATCAATTGGTAAAAGGCCAATTAACACTTTTATAAATCTCATTCGTGTGTTCATTTATTTGTTCATTTGCTTGTTCCTTCCTTCGCTCGCTCTATTTATAGGCCATGTTTCTCCTAATAAGAGGACTCAAGGTGGCTTCTAATATTTAAAAAGTAAAATTACAAACAAATAAGTTATACAGTGGTGCCCCACATAGCAAGGTTAATCCTTTCCGGATTAACCTTCGCTATGGGGAAACATCGCTAAACGGAACGGGGAAACCCATACCAAATGGGCACAAATCTCACCATTCAGTGATGTTCCTCCATAGCGGCAGCCATTTTCACGCCCTCGGTAAGGGTAGTCCGGCGGCCATTTTGGAACCGCCGAACAGCTGATCCTCCGACGTCGCAATGCGAAGGTCGGTAAGCGAAGTTTTGCTCATTGCGACCGTTGGTAAGCCTTCGCATTAGTGATCCTGAAAAACGGATCGTTATACGGTGTGCTCATTAAGCGAGGCACCACTGTATATTTAAAAAAAACAATTGAACTATGCAGTAATTCAAATACAATTAAACAATTAAAAGCAGGTAAAGATGAAAAACTATATTAACTTAAAAATGGTATTCAAAGACTCAATCACGATTGTTAAAAGCCTGCCTGAAAAGATGGGTCTTCCGCCGGCAGTATAAGGAAAACAGGGAAGGGGGAATCCAAGCCCTTTGGGACTAAGGACTTGGGTTCAGGCCTTTGCACATACAAAGAACCTGAACACAGGGGATCTCTTTATTACAAGGTGCCCCCACCACCACAAAAAAGAATTACCCATAGCTGGGCACCAGACAGGATCAAACAACTGCTGGGGGAGTTTATAGTCCCTGTGACGTAAGTATTTCACCCTGGCTCTAGGAAAGAAGAACCACCAAAGTCACTTGGATTCCCAAGGCTCAGAAATACTGAACTTGGGGGGGAGGGCATGGGGGAAGGTCAAGAAGTGCCAAAAATACAGGCAGTCATTTGCTTAACATGCAGTCATTTATGTGGGCAAGAGTGATTAAACTCTTGTTAAAACAGCACAGTTAAAGGTCCAAATATGAAACTGATGTTTATACTTGAAAGGTCTTGTAGGTTTTTGTTTAGAAAAAATACACCAGTGAATGGGAACAAAGTTTCAGTTTTCAAAAAGGAAAATATTTGCTCAACACCTAGTTCCTCTTCAGGGGCAGCATCATAACTAGGGCAAGGCAACTAAACTTTTGCCCCAGGGGCACTTGTGCTTAGAGGGCTCGGACTGGCTGCCTCCCCTGTACTCATTCTTTGGGTTCTGCAAACCCCGGGGCTAATCCTGAGCCTCCAAACTGCCCTGGAGGTCAACGTGAAGTAGCCAAGGAGAAAATTTGATTACATTTTCTTGTTCCTGTCAGGCAAAACTGAGGCATCTCAAACCCACACCCTGTGAACCAATGGCCACTCCAGTGAATTCTCCCCTTGTAGTGATCAAAGTCTGTGATCACTAAGTATTGACTTCATATAGACCAGAAAATCCAGGAGCAGGAAATTTAAATACTCCATTGGTTCCAATGACTGCCCAACCAGGGAATCTCCAGATGCTTGGTCTTACTCTGTCTCCTCTAACATTAAAAAAGGAGATTACGGGTGAAACCCAGGCCCTTTATGCTGCAGTCTAGTTCCCTTGTTAACAAGTGGTCTAGTAACTTGGCAAGCAAACATCTTTAGCCTAAAAGATTCCTCATTTTGGTGGGGAGGGACTGAGCTTCCACGGCATCTGTGGTGCTGATATTCATATTTGTATCCCAGGGATACGAATAAGAATATCCCATATCTTGAGGTTTCTTATGACAAAAAGGGGGACTGTAAGCATAATTCAAAATTTAGGTACCATATTAAAGGGATATGGATAACAATCTGATTGTATAAAGTTGAGAATACATGATTGGAATTTTATAAAAGACAGTAGGTCTAACATTGTGAATATGTGTTGCTATAAGGCAATAAGTTTATTATTTTAAAGGATATATTCATGGATGTAACTGTGCATGGATGTAACTGTGCGACAGATTTTGTACTTGCCTTGTTTATGCACATGTAACTTTTGGCAGTAAAAAAGTCTTTCTGGAACAACCTCACTCACATGTTGTTGGTTTGTCACATTTCCTTCACCAAGAGAGACCTGGGCAGGCATAATTTGATGGTGGTTGGTCTCCATCTCTTCGTGCCTTACTGCTGTTCCTACTTAGCCAAACTGTAGTCTGCTTCTTTACTCTTTTCATGATGTCCCTACTGAAAACTAAAAATTAAAAAAAATTATATTAGAAACCATTGCCATTTAAGCATGAAAGTCTGTGAAGAATGTGTGGGTCAAGCAAGGATGGAAGAGAGGAGTAATACAGCCAGAGAAGGTGGATGGCAGCCTGTGTCGAGAATGAGAGCACAAGAAAGCAATTCCCAAACTGTGTGGACAGGTAGTAGCAGTCCAACTCAGTTCCTCGAGCGACCAATAGCTTCCCCAGGTGCGCCAATAACGGGATGATCTATTCCAGTCTGTAACAAAAGATACCAAAATGACTCAGACCCAACCCAGAATGACTGGGACAGGGCCACCGTGTGGACAAGCCCCATTTCTATTCTCTGGAAACGAAGAAAGAAGAAACATCCAGCTTTCAGAGATGGTGGCCTGGGAAGTCTTCTCTCTTTCCAGGCTCCACAGGGGCTGCTCCACCAACTAACAGAGGCGCCAGACATTTGTTCTTGCTTTAAACTATCAACTTTTACTTCCAAACCTTTCGACACAGTATGAACAGTCTGCAAGTCTGCAGCAGGGCTGGTTCCGTCTTCTTCCCCAACACGGAGAGGAAGAGGTTAACTGAATAATTTGCTGAAACCTCCCAACGTTCCCAAGTTTTGGGACTATTCTTTCTATGCGTTCAGCGCCTCACATGGGTTCCCCAGGCAATGACAGGTGCAACAAAGTTTGTCATCTCCCCACAACTCTCCCTCTTGTGTGGTATTTTCTGGGGAGGCAGTTCCCCACCATCTCGTGGATCAAAAATATTTTGATCTCGTGGATCTAAACAAACAAACAAATAAAATTCCCACTGTGGCATGGGTTTCTCCATTGTGATCTTTCCCTTTTTAACTCTCTCTATAAAGGCTCTTTCCTCCCTGATCTTTTTGACTCCATGCCCTACTCTCCTGTTCTCCCCAGTAAGAGGGCTTTTCCTGGGCGGTTGATCATTCCCCTTTTCCGTCTCCTCTTCAGGTAACATCCATCTTTCCCACTGATGAAACCATGGGTTTTTCATCCACATCCATTCCCACCCCTCAGGTCATATTCACCCTTCTTTCCTCATTTCCCCTGGACCAACTTCCACTTCTTTCACACTTTCACTCCTTTCCGCCCCCCCACACACACCCTGTTTACTTTTCTCCCCATTTACGTATATTTTATCCCCTTTTTCCTCCCCCCCTCTCTTTCCTGTTCCAATTTTCCCCATCCTTCTTCTCTGTACTTTCCCTCTCTTGTCTAAGAGGGGATGGGGCTGCCCTCCCCCCCCTTTTCTCTATTGCTCTGACAGTTTGGGTTTCCTCCAGTTTCCAGAGTAAGAGGGGGGTGTGGCACTTGAAGAGGAAGGTGCTGCTTTTCCTTCCTCTTTCTCCCAGGGGCCTTTTCTAAGTTTCTAGTCTTCATGAGGCCCCTGCTCTGAGTCACAAAGAAATTATGTCAGCACTCCTATACCAAAAAAAAAATCCATTCTGGACTGGAGGTGATTCCAGACCACACACAGAGTTGCCCTGAGGACTGAGGAGGGTTTTTTTGTAAGAAGGGTTTTCGGGTCAGTGCACTGGCTCCCAACCTAGGGTTACCCAGGTGTTCTTGGACTCCAACTCCCAGAAACCCTGGCCAGCACAGCTAGCGGTGAAGACTTCTGGGAGTTTCAGTTCTAGAGACAGTTCTAGAGAACCTGGGTTACGCAAGATTGGGAAACACTGGGTCAGTGCAAGGGGGAAGAAGGTGTCCCAGCACAAAGTCCATAGAGCTTGTCCTTCCCCCAGGGAATAAGACTT